ATGACTCAACTAAACATAATGCTTTGGTAATTTACCTTGGTTTTTTTCCCAAAAAAATATCGTCGTTTTGCTCATTCTTTCAAGCATTACTCGAGCAGCTTCATTGAAGACAATAGACAGTCGATCAAATCATTCGATAGAAAATGCGTCGTTCAACACAATAACTTATTTTCTTCCATTCGTTACATAAGGATACAACAATCGCAGCAATGATTTCAAAGAATCGATCTTATACATATTTATGTTAAGCTACGTTCAATTTTAAATGAAGTCTAGTTAATTGTAAGAAGTTGTAAAATTCGCTAATGTTTTCTGTTGAAATTTAGTTAAGTTTTGTAAACTGAAAAATCCAAAATAATAGACGATATATATTGTTTGAATATAAGTCAGTTTTAATGTTTCAATAAGGTTATTGATGTATTTTTTTTCTCTCCTAATAATTTAGAAGTCGTACACTTTTTTTTATCCAAGTAATTTTTTTTTTTTGATTCTAATGTTTAGTAATACGTTCTGTTTATTCAAAGAAAGCTCGATAAATATCTTTTTTACAATTCACTATCAGTAAAACACTAATAAAAAAAAATAGCAATAACCAATACTATTTTGCACCAAGTGATTTATATATGCTAACTGTGAAAATAGCTGATAGCATATAATGAATCATATAGATAATTCAATAATCAAGCAATAGTATACTTTAAACATATTACTAGACATTGATAGAGTTCTCTTATTGATTAATAACATAATGTCTACATCTCAACTTTGATCGATTGATGAAGAAGTACCTATTCTAGTTACGCTGACAGAAAACACTCATTCAACCAAAAAAAAAAAGCAGAAGGATTAAGGTTATGTTTATTTCAATCCTTTTTAACATCTATGGTCATATAATTAATACTTGATTGACAAAGAGAATCAGTATATTGAAATAAAATGAGATAGATCAATTTTACAAAAAAAAAATATTGCATAGAACTAACGAGAAAACCGACTCAATTGATTTATGACGTTTGTGCTGACACTTTGAGCTTATAGAAAAGATCTCAAGATTAGAATAATCTCAAAAATATTTAAATCTATATACCTTTTATGAAACACAATCTACAAGCAATAGATAGGGTAGAAATTTACACCTACAACACCCTATCGACAGACGCTAGTTGGAGACCATCACATACCATGACATGGGTTATTTATTTATGATCACTGCCCGTATATCAATAACGGTTTGTTACAATATGTTAATTACTTCCTTATTGTATTTCTGAAGGATTAAGTAAAAAGAAGGTGAAGAAATGTATCCAAAGGTAGACAGAATAAAACAATCTTCCATGATTAGCCACAGCAGCTATATAATGTCTTCATCTTTTAATCCTGCAGGATTTGCGCTATTTGTTGAAGTAGAAAACAAAATTTCCGATTAGAGGAGCCTTTCCCTTCCTAAAATGTTTGATTTTTCGTGAATTTTTCATAACTTTCCTGTAACGCTGGAAAGCAGCCGGATTTTGAGATACCATTCGCCTTTCTCTTGTAGAAAGTGAAATAAAAATAAGTAGACAATGTCGTTGCGAGGTGAATAGGATTAGAGAGTGACAAGCAGATCGTTTATTGTGGAAGGGGCCGAGTGACATTGTCCTTTCCTCATCTCTAGAAAATATCGACAACCCTGATAGAGTTCTCGGACTTGTGAAAGTATTGCTTATATATGTCCATGTTTCATTTGTTCTTTTCATGTCTCTCTTTGTCCTATTGTTGTCGTTCTTCTCTATATCAAGTCAAGTGTTATATGAATAAATCGAATTTACACAATGTACACTTTTCTACAGAGTTCCGACATTTTAGTCGAATTTTTATCAATAGACAGGATATAAACAAAAGATTTTGTTATCTGAAATTTTGTCTATAAATAGGTTTCCTTATTCTCAGAATATTTTGGAAGTTTCAGTCAAGAAAACAGAAAAATTGAGATTTTTTTAAATATTATTTAAGGTCAAAAATCCATGTGTTCTACTAATATCTCATCTAGTAATACAAATCTAGCAAAAGCATCATAACTCTGTAGAGAAGGTCTATAAGCTCGAGTCTTTACAAGATTATTCTAGTCTAATGTTTAGAGAATCGTTTCTTCTTCCATATTTTGTGAATATTCTTCATTGTTCACTTCTTTTAGGATATTCATCAGAGTTCAAATATGCGTAGCAACAGTCAATAAATATCACCTTAATACTAAAAAACCAAAATCATCAATAGATGATAATTCATTTACTTTAATAGAACAGAATATAGATCACGTTTAAACAAACAAAATATTTTAATTCTTTTATATTTTTAGACTTATTCCTTATATATTAATTAACAATACAAATAGCAAATAAAACTTGATGACATGAAAATTCACATTCTCGTTACAATGCAAAATAAAGTAACTATCATAGAGAAAAAGAAACATACAGATATTTCCATTTACATATTGCTCTTACATTTTTATCATAGTTTGAACTTATAATATTGCAGTTTTTTTTATCCTGATCTAAAGAAAACTATTTCAGAATTTATTCGTAGTACATCTAAAAAATTCTTCGGTACTTGTTTTTCCATTTATTTAGTTGATGACAAGCACTTTTTAAGTTCTCTCTTTTTAATTATGTTCTGATTGATAATTTATAAGACAATTCGCTGCAAAACAACGAATTCCGGTTGTGACAACTTTTTCTACATAGTTCCGGTACCTCCAAACTTCCGAATTTTGATCCCGCATATCTCTAGTTTTCAGTACCATCATAGCAGTGAAATTCGAAACATCTGTTTTTTAATACCGTCATGACAACAGTGGCAACTTTTTTTTGTTGGTTCATCGCGATAGTTATATTTTCTGATAGAAATTAACGTATTAATTTCTTTTAAATTTCTTTTGAAAGACTTTAATACATTTATTATTTATTAAAATAGATTATTCGTATTGAAAAATTTTCTAATCACAATAGAGACAGATCACCATGTTTTAATTCATTAATTCTATTGAGTAATTTAAGTCGATTTTCGACTGGCATTTTAAATGTATTACGTAAATGTTCTTCTTGTAGAAGGAGAAGAGCTGTTCCATCAATAAGATGTTCTTTGATTATTGGTGTATAACAATTTTTACCAAGTACATGTTCGAAAAATGAACAAACTTCATTGATCTAAATAGAAGAAGAAAAAAAAGAGAAACAAATAAATTCATTCGGTATGTATATTTCAGAATTCTCAACTTTTATTGATATAAAGATTTGCTCTACTATGATATACAGAAGAATTTTTTGATATCCATTTAGAGAAAAGTTTCAGTACATGACTTACATTCCATTGATGAATATTTGGGTTTCCATAATTGACGTGTTGTTCTTGTTTTTTCGATGATGATGAGTTATTTTCTTGTTGTTGAAATGGTTCTAAACTCTCGTGTATTTTCCAACCATCAATTACATGAATAATTACTGTTGATTTTGATTTACGTTTTAATACATTTTGATCTTGACGAATTCGTAATGTCTTCGTTGATGGTACTGATATAGGTTTTACTGTTTGATCATATTCTGTATGACAATTATTGACTGGACTGACAGCAGTGGTCATTTGAGGTGAGTCTAATAGAATTCAACAAAAAATTAATAAATAAAAGTACTACGGATGATTTTTTATACAGACGAAATGTTTTCAATGATGAACTATCAGATACATCCTATAAAAAATAGAGAATTGAAATTAAGAGATTAATCAAAGAATATGTCTTCTAACCTGTTGTTCTTGTTGATTTATTGATGATGGAATAATAACTATACGAAAATTGAAAATAATTACATTTTTATTTGATTATGAAGTTACTAGTTACGTTGTGAGGAATCAGTGTTATTATTATTATTATTATTATTATTATTATTCGATGTTGTCATCTGATTTGTCGATAAAGTAGGAATAACCTTAATCAAACAAAAGAAGAATAATTTTTCATTCTAAAGCTCTTTAACTCTAATTTCTTTTTTTAATTACATCCAAGAATTTTATTGCATTATATATATGTACACTACATAGTAACTTACTCGATAATTATTACTAACTGGAATGGAATATGGCTGTGATACTATAGGCAAAGTAGCCCTACGATGATTTAATTTCAAAGATTTCTGCATGAAAAATAAAAACGTTAATAGTAAGAATAACTACTAATGAATAAATCAATAATTTTGATAGAGCATTATTCTTCTAGAAGTAATGAAGATATCTATGACGTATCTTTCATTTTTCTTCCGTATGTATTCACTTGACAGAACTGAAAGTATATGCGGGGAGGAGAGGGGGGGGGGGGGGGGAAGTAGGGTGAGACATTGAGACAATATATGTTTTTTTTTCTTTCTTTCTGAATGGAAAGGAAAAAATCATCTTTTGTATTTTTTCTTCCCATCTGTTTTCGATGTAAAAAAAACTTTTCTTTCGTTTATTTTCTACCTTCAATCAAAATAGAGAAGTAATCCTCCCTATGAAAGTCATTAATCAAAAAAAAAACGACCTCTGTTGATAACCATCTGTCGATAATTATCCAGTTCTTTTTTTTTTCTATTTATTCCCACAAACAGGTCAAGAACTTATTATTCTGTTACTTTGACTCATATAATAGAAAAATTTTGCAAGAATGGTGTAATTTAACATTTACATGATGAAATGAATGAGCCCGAGAGAATAAGCACAAAAAAAATATATATAACGCCAAAAGGATTGATTAATGAAAAATTATATAGTTTATTTAATGACAAATGACTTCTTTGTTCTGATTTTTTTTATTTTGATATTAAGAATGAAAATAAATAAAATTTTTTCTTTGCATAATTTATAATAAAAAACAAAAGAAATTTAATTAAAATTCATCGTACCATATGAAATTGATTTTTTCGATACTTTTTAATTTTTTTACTATTTTAAACTGATTCCACTTTTTCTTCATTTTTATAATATATTATATATGACTTATTTTAATAAGTAATAAAAATATGTTGGATTTTTTCTATAGATACTGATTAATAGAAACAATCCAGTAAGATTATATTAGTTGACTCATTATATAAATAGTATTTTTCTATCACTGTCGAAGAGACAGACGCGGTACGCTAAATGACTAAAAATAGGCATATATATGATTCTTCCAACTTGGTCAGTCTTCTCTCGTTTTGGGGAAAAGATAAACAAAAAAAAAAAAGAGGGATGATTTCTTTGCATGAAAGTATCATTATATTATTGACTAGGGCCAACTATTATGTCTCATCATGGCAATATGAATGGGGCTTGGAGAGAAATAGTATTGATGATTCGTCCTTTTTGTTCTTATGAAATTTAGGTATATAAACAGTATCATCATTATTAACTCTTCAGTTTCTCTCATTTTTTTCCTACTTGTGATTAGCTCAAAATGTATTACAATAAAAAAAAAAGAGAGAAGAAAATAGAGAAAAACCGTGGGTGAGAAATATTCCCATAAAAGGACTGTGCAACATCGTATTTTATTCTGTCGATTCATTTTTTACAATTTATTAAGAGAAAAAAAAACTAGCAAACTATTACTATCGATAGCAGACTTTTATTGCATGTGTAAATATTCACGAGACAGTGACATACATATACCGATTGTCGTAGAAAAGTGAATTTGTTTTTAGTTATTTTAATACTATTCAAATTTTGTGTATCGATTATTATCATTTAAAATATTCAGTTGGTAAAAGGTAATTTAGATGAATATGTTTGATTTTTTTTTTTGTTTTTGCATATTCTATAAAAAGCAATGAAATATCTAAAATAATTTGTCCTGTCATTTAAAATTTATTATAGAACTTATATAATTTTGTTTTTATTTGATTCACTGGGTTTTTTTCTTTCTTTCTTTTTTTCCTATATGAATTAGATAAAGAATAAAGAAAAAGAAATCTATTCATTTTTAATTTTATTCTTTGAAACGAACGTAAAAAAAAGAATTATTGCTTAAAGTTGTTGTTGTTGTTGTTATTAAAGAAAGAATGAATTTATATGATATATTTTTTCTTTCTTAATTTCAGATACAAAAAACTAAACGCATTTCTTGTGGTTGTCGTAGTCGATTAACAAAGCATCATTGATAAACAAATACAATAAAGAGTTGGTTTGAGTTGGTCGATATTGTATGTTGTGAGTGTTATTTAAAAATATAAAAATATTGCCTACTGATTAATACAACAACTACATCGTCATCAACAGTAACAAAAAATAGTTGACGAACGAAGAAACGACAGAAGAAAAAACAACGTCAGAAAAAAAAAAAGGAAAAGAAAGAAAAAAAAACATCTACTACGCTATTTAGTCTGTTCGGCGTCTCGGGCATGTTTCATAGTGACGACGAGCGCAATCGCAATGTCGACCCCTACAATGAATCACAACAGTCATATGCATCAACGGCAAGAACAACAACATCAGGAGCAACAGATAAACGAAACACAACATGTACATTCGAACTCGGCCAATTCACCCCATGCGATTTTGACACGTTCGGATTCGACTACGACAGTTATTTTGGAGGAAGAGGAGACTCGTACATGTCGCCGGACTGGTCCCCCAACTCTTTCATCTGCAGCATGGGCGAGCCTCAGTTTTCAACTACGTTCCTTCCTGAAGACAAGTGGCCTATTTAACAAAGGTTGGAATTTTTAATTGAAATAAAAAATTCAATAAATTTCTTTGTTTTATTTTTTTTTAATATTAAATAGATTTTGAATCATCTGAGAAGTTGAACGAGCTATTTGCAAATGGTAATGAATTTTCTCTACAAAAATTATTAAGTGAAGTTGGTGCTAATGATACAAATATTGATATGAATGAATTAATAAAATTTGATTCAACAAAATTTCCCGATTCACGAACACTTAGTGAATTTGTAAGTAAAAAAACAAAAAAAAATTTCCTATTCTTCTATTTTCCTTTATAAAATTTCATAATTACAAATTATGATATTTAAAATAAAAAATGAACTAAACTAATAGGTTTTTTTTATAGTTACGATCTGAATCATTTGATCAACTAATCGCATCAGCGATAAATAATACAGATGTTTCATCAAATCCACCTGCAATTGCTTGTTCAACAACATCATTTTCTGAACTTCGACCTGTATCACCTGAATTAACAACCAATAATATATATCACACAGAATCCGATCAATTAAAACCCGAATCCAATAATGCATTACTTTATACTCAAATGAATTCATTTGATTCATTAACATCAATGACAGATCCTTCACAATATGATTTTAATCAAGGCGCACTAAATGCTTTTGAACATGATCATGCTTTTCTCTCTAAACGAGCACCGATTATTGATACACCAAAAACAACAAATTCTAAACGAACACCTGTACGTGGATCTCGTCGAACATCATCACGACTCCAATCACGTGCTGTATGTTTAACATCACCAGAAAGTACCTCAACAAACACTAAACATTCTCGTAATGTCAATCGAGCAACAGATATTAAAACATCTGATGATTTATCATATTATTTGGAACGACGTCGAAAAAATAATGAAGCATCAAAAATGTCTCGAGCTGCTCGAAAACAAAAATTTGGTGATATGGATCATCAATGGTAAATAAAAATAGAAAAAGAAATTTTTTTCTTTGAAATTTTAATTGCTTCGTTTTTTTGTTATTTTTAGTGAAGAGTATGAACGTGTTAATGCTGAACTTCGTATGAAAATTGCAACACTTGAAACAGTAACAGCTACACTGAAAAGTGGACTTGTTAATAATTTCCAACGAAAACCTGGTGTTTAAAATCGAAATATTGAAACATACATATATATCTCCTTTCATTTTTCTCTATCAACTCTTCATAAATATTTGTCAAATATGTAATGAAAATTTCTTTTTCTCTCTCGAGTGATCGGATTCTTGGTTTGCTTGTTTTTTTTTAATGTTTAGTTGAGCTACGAAGAAAAAAAAAGGATTTTGATGGTTTAATAGTTACAATGCAATATGTGTAGCTGCCCTCCATATTTTACTATCAGTTCGTGATATATCATATATATATATGTATGTATGTATGTATGTATGTGAGTTCTATTTTCTTTTTTTGATGAAAACTACTTTGAAGTAAACAAAAAAAAAGGCAAAAACGTAGAAAAGTAGACAAAAAATATGTTTTTATTTTTGTTGTTATATAGATTCATTTTTGTTTTGTTTTCTCTTATCTGTAATCGTTGCTTATATTTTTAAACGCGAATTAAAGAAAGAGGAAAAATTACATATGATTAAATATGTATCTATATCTTTAAATTTTGTGATATTTCTATATTCTCTCTATGTTATAAATTGTTGCGAAGAGAGTAAGTAGTAGAGTAATATATGTAATTCAATTGTATTATTATAATCTAGAGTTTATGATTAAATTCTTTTTTTCTCTTTATGCCATCCATTATAAATTTATTGTATTGCTTTGTTTTATTATTTTTGCTTTAAAATAACAAAAATATATGATGATATAAAAGAAAAGGATTGCTTTATAAATTTCTTTAGTTTTTTTTTGAAATGAAATGCAAATAAATATATAATTGATAATGTTGAACATTGATGAACTTTAATAATATCAAGCAAAATAAATGACATATTAAGTATCTGCCAGACATTTTTTTTCTTCATTTAAAGAACATAGAGAATACATAATTAAATCGGACAAGCGGTCATCTCGTCTCTTGGGAATGAATTGCATGTTGTTAGTGTGACTCTATGTTTTTTTTTAATATTGCAATGAAATTCATGTGTTTAAACAATGAACATATCTTTTCTCATATAAAATGATAGATTGTATTCAGCTGGATTTTGTTTGTTTCTTTCTTTAACTAACATTTCTATGCTTCAAACATCATGATAAATCGATTGATTGTGTCAAGCAAATGAGATGATTGTATACATGCAAATTTTCAATTTCTTCTCCCATTTTCGTTAAAAGGTATATATATATATAGTTCAGATCGTATGATCTGTACATTACTTTTTTCTCTTGAATTTATGATGGCTATATATATATACAAAATGAATGTGAGTGAACGCAAATACATTACTCATGTGCTGGTCAATACTGATATGAATATTGAGAGAAGAAAAAGAAAAGGAGAATAAGGTCAATATTCTCTCTATAGAAATGCTACGCATGCATACATATATATATATATATATTTATATGGTTAGATAGGAAAGAAAGTCTTCTTGATGAAACATCTGATATACTAGCTCATTTATTTTATACTATTCTAATATGGATATGTGTATTCTTGATCAATCACATATGATGTATTCAGAACAAATACCAATATCTTCACTGAATACAACTACAATTTATCTTCAAGATTTTCATTCAGAACCTTGTCAAGTATGTGGAGAAAATGCTAGTGGATGGCATTGTGGTTCCATTACATGGTAAATATATATTAATTGATTATTGATATAGACATATGAAAATTATTTTTTTTTTTAGTGAAGCATGTAAAAAATTTTTTCTACGATCAGTCAATGGCGAATATCTTAAATATAAATGTATACGAGATAAGAAATGTATTATAACACGTACTACACGAACACAATGTCAATATTGTCGATATTCAAAATGTATTGCAATTGGCATGAAAATTATTGGTAATATCAATTGTTTAGTTTTGTGGTTTTTTTTTTGTATTCAGTGACTAATAGCTATTTCAAAAAATAAAAAGAAGGCGGATGAATACTTTTTGAATAAATTTTGATTGAACGTTGAGGTGTTTTGACTATCGGAAAGAAGAGATGAAGTTGCATTGAATCATATATTATTTAATTAAATTAAGAAAAAAAAATGGTTTCTTTTAACATAAATGTGACCTTTTTTTTCGTAGAATTGCTTGAAAAATCGTCCTAGAAATTTGATTAGAATAGCTAAATCTAAAAATCTGAGTCTTGCGTAATTTTGTAGATCTTCCATTGACGGTTTGGATGTACACCAAATAATTGAAACTTCATTATAATCACCTTACGAAATGCGTTAGTTTTCAAAAAAGCCGATTGATAACTTTTAAAAAAAATCAGGTCGAAAAAACTTTTAACACATGATTCAATACGTCTTTATCTCCTCTTTCTAAAGACGAAAATCACAGGTCTCTATCTTATTTTCACCAAAAGTTATTTAAAAAATCCTATTGTCTCGTTATAATAATTATATGAACTAATTACTTCCTTATGACATTTGTGGAGAAGGATAGTGAAGAAATGTATCCTAAAATTGATAGAATAAAACAATGTCTCTGTCCTTCTGATGAGCAACAATAGTTATATTAAATTTTCATATTTTAATCCTGCAGATATTGCTTTAACAACTTTTCTTTTTGAAATATTTAGAAGAAAGTTCAAATCCAAAAATTGAAGAAATCTTTAAAGAAATTCCATGTGCTGTTTGTCAATCTGCATCATCGGGTATACATTTTGGTGCAACAACATGTGAAGTAAATATTTTATTTTAATTGATTTTAATTATTTTATTCTTTATTTAGGGTTGTAAAGGATTTTTTCGTCGAATGATAAAAGAACGTATACCACAACATTATAAATGTTCAGAAAGAAATAATTGTGAAGTTAATGCTCTAACAAGAAATATGTGTCGAGCATGTCGATTTCGAAAATGTCTTATAGCAGGAATGTCTATTGAAGGTTCACGTATAGGAAGACAATCAAATTTATTTAAACATAAAATGATTGAAATGCAACGTCGAGGTTTAATTCAACCACAATTATTTAATATATTAACTACAAATTTTAATAATTCAAGAAAAAAAATAACACATGTCAATCAAGGTGATTATTTTTTTTAAACTAGACAAAACAAAATCTTATTGAAAAGCTTTCATGATGTTATGGACAAATTGAACTTTTAGAATAAAAAAAAAGAAATAATTTCTAATATTGAATAAATAATATGTTTGTCGAAAGCAGTTTAGTCAATTTTAACAAAAATCTTCCAATTGCCATTTCGAATCATCGTCCAACCCCAATTCTGACGATTTTTGGACACCTTCGGTTAGAAAATTATAAGTTCGAAGCATAGTACTAACGTAATGATCAATTAAAATGTTATAGTCGATTGATACTTTCCTTCTTATCTTTTCGGATACTAAAATGATGTATAGATCTATGACAATTTATTTTTAATGATTTTGAAATTTTTCATTATTATTGAATCTTTTCATAATATACAACAGAAGTTTCCTAACCGAAGATGTGCGCGACCATCTTTTTGGTCCCGACCTCGAGACTAAGAGAAAAAAGTTGTCCCAACCGAAAATAAAGATCATAGTAAAATATTCTATGATTTTAATCGAATTAACTTATAAATTAATATCAGTCAGTCTAGTCGTCGACTAAATAAATCAAAAAACGAGTATTGAAAAATTGGTCCCACACATCTTTAGCTCCAATTAATCAATTGTTTTTTTTCTCGTGAAGACTATAGATATCATCAATATTCTAATGAGCTATAAATATCTGGAGCACTTAGCTTATTGCTGTGAAGATACTGCAGTAATACAGTATATTTTAACTTAATGCCGTGGTTCTTTTCAGGAGCAACTGTTTTTCGAATTCTAACTTGAAACTTTACACATAGACAGGCATTAAAGAGTATAGCTTATTACAAAAGTTTCAAGTCTTTTAATTTGCTCGCATCCTGAAATAAGAACATCGAATCTTCTAATGTAAAAAAAATATTACTTTTACCATAGTTGTATCTTAAAATAGGAACTAACGGAAAGACCAGAAATTTTCACCATAAACTGTTCTCACTAAGGTTTATCTGTGTATAAAGCTTCAAGTCAAAATTCGAAAATCAGTTTTTTTTTCTGAGAAGGATCACGGTACTAGTGTTGCAGTTTCTCCAGTCAAGTTTTTGTATTCAATCGAATGGAATTAGAAGAAGAATTACAATCCGATCCTTCTATTACTTGTAGTACTTATTACCTTGATGTTCTCAAGATGATAAAAATACCTCGTATGTATTCAAATTGTTAAGAACAACTCGAGATTAGTATTTCTGATTCATGGAACATTGATCGCACTTATTTTTTTTTGTCATAAATTGAACTTTGCTGAAAATAATTCGCGATTCAATAGTATCATAATAAATTTGTCTCTCTCTCACTCTCTCAAAAATCATTATGAAAATCTATGAATTTAAATAATTTTCAATAATCATGATTTATTCTTTTAGAACCACGAGCTGTCTTAAATTTAGAAGATAAACTTGAATCTGAAGTATTTCAACAAATATTAAAGATTGAAAATGCTTATATAAGTCAACTTAAAGTATATATCAATTTTTGTTTTTTATTTAATTTATAAACGTTTTCTTTTTTTAAGGAACTTCCAATTTGTTCAACTGGAACAAATGATTTATGGATGGTTTGTATTTCTCAATTGAATGAATATTCGAATCGTATCAGAGATTTTATTGATAAAATTCCAAGTAAATATTAATAGAAAAAAAAAACAAACAATTAACAATTGAAAATATATATTTACTTTTTTTTTTGTTTAGATTTTAATTCTATTAGTTTTATTGAAAAAACATCACTTATTCATTTATCTAATCATTCTGTTATTTTAATGTGTCTTTGTATACAATCATTACGTTTACGTACAATAAATAGAAATTGGAATTATTTTAATATTTCATTAAATTCATCATCATTTAGTCAATATTTACAAGAACATTTTCCATTTTTTTTTGAATTAAATCATTTAACATATTCATTTGAAAA